TTTGTTTTTTGCACCCGCGAGTTGGCGTGGAGCACCTATAATTTCGTTGTACATGTACAATAATAGTAAAGAGCTAATCTATCTATCGACCAATGTGGCAATTTTTTTAACATTGTAATCTCTGACTTTACTGTAACTTTTCACTTATAATTATCACATTTTACTATTCTATTGTGAACTAGCAAGTCTGTTTACGCAAATACTGTTTACGCAATTTATGTACTGTTTCCGCAAATACTCATAAAAATGATGAAAAACTATAATTAATTACATTAGGACAGCTCAGAATATCTGTCATGGATTAGGGGACCCGTATAGCTATAATAACCACCAATAAAGCCATTAAAAAAGCATTCTTGTATTATTTTTTTTTTTTTAAGTCAGTAATTTTATCTGTTAACTCTGCTTGGTCGTTTGAGGGTTAAACATATCCTCCAAAGTCTTCAAAGAGACAAAAAGAACAGACAAAGCATAAAAAGTAAAGTAGCAGCAGTAGAAACAGGCAACAACGAAGCTCAATGACAAAAAAAAAAAGTATTGCAAAGCAGCAGCAGAAAAAGAAATATTTGTCACATATGCACAAGAAACTTACCCACAAGACATTATGTGGACTCTCCTCTTTGCACTAAGCCTAGATTAGTCTGTACGAGGAAGTGATGGTGGGGTAAATCCCGAAGTCAATATTCCTCCGTCTCGGATCAGAGTAAAACTCACAGAAAGCATCAGGTTACTTTAACATTCTGCTCATGAATTTTGAGCGCAAGTTAAATCCCCTTTTCCTTACACCCAGTCAGGCTCAAGTTTAGCCTTCCTCTCTGGCTTACTCTCTTTCATGATAAGATATCAGGCTTCATTACCGGCCCAGTAACCCTCCCGCCCTGTAATTTACTCCAATTTTCTTAATTAGGATTCTATCTGTGGGAGAAAATGTGCCTGTTCCTGTCCCTTCTTCTTTGCTCTTCCTCTAACAAACTCTTCCATATACAAATTCTATCGGGTTTTTCCGCCTCGCTGCATTTGCTTCCATGTAAATTCCAATTTGTCTTTCCAGGTTTGCATGCAAATTATGGCATGCTTTGTGTGCGAGAACAGTATCAGGCTGTTCTGAACGTGTACTTTTTTGTGCATGCAAGCGTGAGAAATTAAAGAAAAACCTGCCTTAATGGAAGTTTTTAACGCCCCTTTATAAAAAAAAACCCAAAACAAATGGGAAAATAATAATCTATGACCATCTGAGCCACTTTGTGACAGTGCAGCTGAACATTTATGGCCAACTTCCTTTAAAAGGACGGTCCCTTTAGTTTCTGTCTTATAACTAGTTTTACTAAAGACACAAAGCTCGTCGTGACCTTAGAGGAAAAAGCCAGGAGGGTATCTCGTAGTCTCATTCGCCAATATGTGCATAAACATTCTTACTTAGCGGACAAAATAAGTGCGTACACGCAACTTGCACGTTGGCAAACAGGACACGCCCCCTTTCCCCCCTAGAAAGAACACATGGCTGAAGAAAGTAATTTAAGGTCATTTTCAGTGTTACCCGTGTCTCTTTAAATGGGAAATAAATTAACTGTTACTTTATTTATTTCACCGAGGTTTAAGTAAATCACTCGTTTTATCCCTCGCTGTGAGTTAAAGACCTTTGTTTGTGTCTAGCTGACGGTTTAATTGAAATATCTATGTTTACATTTTCTATGACAGCCTCATTCATCATCCATGCAGATGCGTCTTCTGAGGCACTGCTCAAAAAATTAAGGAAGCACTCGATCATCCCGGTACAACACGGAGTCAGTTAAACTACAGGGAAATCAATCTGTCCTGTTAGGAAGCGTAACCAATGTGAATAGGATACAGAGGTGCAGAGGCAACAATGTGTCAAAAAAAATGAACCTATGAATAATGTCTGGTGTCTAAATAAATTTTAACAGTAAACCACGCAGTCTGGCGTTGTCACTCTCTGATAGAACTTGCCATCCCTTTAGTATCACCGCTCATATGGTTAGAAACAGAAGCAGAAGAATGTAGTGCTCAAGAAAAGAAAAAGGAGAACCAAACCTATATAATCGGTTTAAAAATAAAACGTGGCAACAACAAGAAACTGTTGAGTTTTTGTTTTTTTTATTGTAGTCCATAAAAACAAACAGCAATGATAAAAACAACAGGGTGGTAACCATAATAATAATATTCAATAATGGAAAACAACATAACAATAGACAGTAAGAAATTAAATTAATTTAAGATTGCCATCAACCTCAACACCATCCCATGTACCTAAAAAGCTGGGGAGCTATTGCGAGTTTGTATTACAGGAGACTTCCCATGAAGCAAATCTGTGGTGCAGTTAGGAATGTCATGGTGCTGTTTGGGTTTGTGAGCACAAAGAGTTGATCCCCGACTGGGTCACTCGTCGGACCAGGCAAGAGTTTGAGAAGGACGGAAGAAGAGGTAACAGATCTGACTGACTGATACAAAAGTGACAGGAACACCCTCTCAGTGTCGAGGCATTCTGCAGTAGAGATGCACGCCACTATGCCCTGTTTAACACACACATACATACAAGAAAACACACACACCTTCACTCTGCACACATACAGATGAGGACATTAGAGTTAAATGACTTCTAAAAAAGAACATACAAACAAAAATTTCACAATTTCCTAAAGGTGAAAACAAGCACAATAAAATCCCTTGAAGTCTGGAATAATCCAAAAGTTACCACAAAGCACCAGTATACTCCAAACATGCTGCTTTCCCTCCGGTCTAAGCTTCTTCTGCTTCATTATACATATAGTTACACACACATGTTAGATCCTGCTGGAAGGACAGGTCAGTTCAGTGTTCAGGACAGAGGGGTTCAATCTGATTCCCAGTGGAGAAGAAAGACATCTGTATCTAGTCTGCCGCAAAGAAAGAGAACCGATTCTTACATTCGCTCCCGCCCTACATCTACAGTCCCAGTCTTTTCAAAATAAAGTCCAGCAGCACAGCTGATGCTCTTCTGAGTCCGGAGATGGGTTGTGGGTGCAGAGGAAGAAGTACTAACCTGACTGTGCTGTACATGGTGGCTGAGGGGGAAGAATTCTGCTACATGGCGGTGAGGTGTGTGCGACTGGCCTCGTTTGGGGAGTGTGAAATGTGCGATGGGATTGGTCAGCGCGGCACCTGCATCTGCTGTGCGGTCTGTGATTGGTTCTGAGCGGTGACCTCGGGGCCCCGGCTGGCCAATCGGCTGAGGATATTCCTCTCGGACATTTGTAGCCGCACGGCCACGGGGGGTATCCTGGCGATGGTAGCTGGGAGACGGGTGACGTCGGCCTTCATGTCGCTCAGCAGTTCCTCGAGCTGTTTGAGAACTAGAAATGCAGCACAGAAATCGGCATAACAGGGGTGAGCAGCCAAATTTTGGTTTTTGGTTAAAATTAACAGTGTAGCATCCCAAAAAGCAGCAGAGGACAGAAAACAGTAAGGATGGGTTTGTAAAACTTTAACAGGAATCTTCCTGTTAAAAGGGAGTTTTTCCTTCCCACTCTCACCAAAGTGCTTGATCATAGGGGGTCGTATGATTGTTGGGTTTTTCTCCGTATGTATTATTGTAGGGTCTACCTTACAATATAAAGCGCCTTGAGGCGACTACTGTTGTGAATTGGCGCTGTGTAAATAAAATGGAATTGAACTGAATTAAATATGGAGCACAAGAGTTACACAGTATCTCTCCTTCAGTACCATTTGTAACATTTCACCAACACTCATAAAATAATGACAAATATAAACCTTACACATTTCCCAGATTGAGCTCTGTGTGAAATCAAGCTTGGAGGCAAAAGTGTCTCATCTCGTTCCAGGCCCATTACAGATGCATTGAATCCATAGTTGTGAGTTTAAAGCATTGAAGAATATCCAATATGTCTGCCTTCAAAAATTTCCAATGCTCACTCCTTTGTTTTTAAACAACGTGTGTAGCTGAAGTTGTCTACTGTCAAACAACTCAAAACACCATAACCCTGACATGTAAAGGCAATTATTCTCATCGTTGTGCTGCAGTTTTTCAAAATAACATAGTCAGAGAATTGAAAAATATAGAAAAAGCATTTCAGAAAAGAGCACCAAAAGCAAAACACAAGAAAAAAACATTACTTTCACCATTTCATCACCACTGGATTGTGAAAAAAAATAAATTCTTCATCATTCATTCACTATTCGAATGATCTTTAAACATTACTGTTTACTGCTTTATCAGTCCCACAAGGTCTTTTTTTAAAATAAATATAAAATATGTCACATTATTGTTTCATGCCATTTAATAAAAGTAGTCTTAGTGTTAAACAGCCCCTGGCCCAACGCCGGCACAGAGGGAGAAAACTACTGCTGCTATAACTGAGACACTTTTCATTAGAAGGATAATTACTGTGAGTTCACTGTTGTCTAGGCAGCTGCAATTACGTATGTCATTATGTGCATATACTGTCATTTTGGTGAAGAAGCACCTGCAAGCAGCTGACTCTGCAGTTACTTGGTAAAAGGAAACCCTGTGCAGAATAATGTCCCTTGACAGTCCCACTGTTTTAATCACGAGACTTCTCAGTGTTGCAGATATAGATTTTAAGTCAGTGAGAACTTTCGCTTTACTTTTCTGATTTGTAACGTGTCTCACCTTTATGCAGCACTGCATTGGCAGGCTTGTTTCCAGACATTGACTCTTTGCTGAGATGCTGGTGGGACTCGGCGAGACACTCCACCTCACTGAAACGTGTGTTTAGGGCCATGGAGGGGTGAGCCGGGTCCTCTGTCATGTTCAGGTAGGCCGCCCTGCGCAGCTGCTCTTCGATCACGAGCGCCTGCTCGAGTAACTGTACAGGAAACGCAGGTGGACCAGACGTGCTCAGTGAGATATGACACGCAGACAAACATTCACACAGAGAACTCAAAGGATAACCGTGTACTCGTTTCACCTTGAACCTGCGGGCCAGAAACTTGTTCTTGATCTCTAGGAAGTTGCCTCTGCTCATCTCCCCTTTGAAGGGCTCATTGAGGATGGCAAACCTCACGTCGTTCTGCACATCCTGCCACCGAGCGTAGCCGTGTCTGAGAGACGCCAAAGTCAAGAATAACAACACAGGTGTGTCTGGATGGTCAATGCCATTTAGAACAGGGTAACAATTTGGGTGGAAAGACTTTAAACATACATCACTGTCCTTCATTCAATTAATAGCAGAGCTATTTCCAGAAGATGAACGCCTCAAATCACACACTGGTTTCTGGACATCACCATGTAAGCTTTTTTTTTGTTTGTTTGTTTTTTTAGACATAAGTGACTATAGTTGGACAATCCAGTGAAAGAAATCTATGCTAACTGTATGATCAAATAGAATAGTAGCACAGGTAAGTCATTTTATTTGTCAGATAATTTAACTAAAATGCTCCAAAAGGCATTAACAGCACAAACATGGAGAAGTCCAGTTCAGTTAAAGTTAGCTATCAGCTACAGAGTCTACACCGGCACACCTGTCATTTTAAGCAACTAAGCTCCTACATTTAAACCAAAAGAAAGCATTATGTGTTTCTGTAGCAGGCTGCAACTATGTAGCTCTAAAGACACTGACCAATTTTTGGCACTTGTGTATTGATTTTTCAGCTCTAGAGGCTGCTACTGGTCGAAACCACTCAAACCACTTCATAGAATTGATATCGAGATAAATCCAGGCACATCTTAATGGATCAATATGAGCTAAATCCTCTCTTTATTCAATTCTGTGGTCAGCCTGAAACGGCCTGCTGCTTAATGACAGCTGTGCTCTAATGTGATCAGTTCACTTAATATGAGTGTGAAATTTACAGTCTGTAAATGTGAAATGATATTTGGTCACCCTGTTTATAAACCTGCAACAACTTTATGCACCTATGAAGACTGAAGAACAGTGTGTTAAAGATATTGTCCGTCTGAAAGGATACTGTATGATGCCAGCAAGCAGCCAGTAGTCATGGCGGCGGTGCCAAATCTCAAAGGTCTTCTTGGTGACGGTAGCTGCTCTCTCCTCATTCTGCCACAGAGAGTGAAGCTCTGGAAAGCAAGACAGGAAGGTCAAAACAGGCAGAAACGAAACAGAAGAAAAGAGAAGAGAAAGAAGTGTGAACGGCTGCATGTGTGTCCACCTGTGAATCCTCCGTCAGCGATGTTGAACATGAACCTCTGCTTGGTGGCTTTCTTCTTCTCTTCACTGACATTAACCACAGGTGCAGCTGTTCCTCCGTCTTTGGCGTTCTCTCCATTCTGCAGTTTGCCAGACTCGTCTGGTTTCACACTGTCCTTCTCCTCTTTTTGTTCTAAAAAAGAAAAAAAATTCTAATTAAACATCTTAAAGCTGTGTGAACAAAATCCATGTGTAATAAAGGGCCCAGAATTCATCAGCTGAGGAGTTGAAATCTTGTATAGTATACATTTTAATGCGCAGCTCAAGCTTAAAAGGTCAAAAATAGCAGAGAAGGTTTGTTCCAGCGCTGTCATCTGTGCTTCAAATGTAAGACAGAGTGTAGGTGTTTGACTCAGAGCTAACCTTTTTTCTCCTCTGCAGCTTCCATTTTCTCATCTTTGCCTTCGTCAGCTAAAAGACGAGAAATAAAGTTAAAGACTGAGAAGGTGAGAAAGAAACCAGAGAATACTGTACGTGGTTTAAGACAAGATAAGATGATATAAGATGGGGAAATTCACATTATTACAGCTGCAAAACCAAGAGAGCAGGAAAAGTTAGATTCAGCATTACCTTTAACAATAGCACTATACAACAATATATGTGTGTATATGGTTGTACCCACACACACACACACACACACACACACACACACACACACACACACACACACACACACACACACACACACCTTTCAGCAGCAAAATGGGATCTGCTTGTTCAGTTTCTTTTTGTTACCAGCAGAGATACTGCTGCCCCAGCCCAATGCCATCAGTGTCATAAAAGGTCTTAAGGAGCTCCCCCTGCACTTCCAAAGACCTACGTATCTGCAGCAGACACATCCTGCTCTTTCCTTTTAATGGCATTTATGCTGTTAGTACATTCCCATTATTGATCACATGAACATCACCATCCATGTTTTCTATCAAGAGACGGTCACATGGAGAAGTAAGGTGGGATTTTTCCCTTTTCCCCATAACAGTGCACATTCTGCTCGGCTTATTTTTTATTGAAGTTGTTCATTAAGGCAATTTTTATGTTTCAGATTCACCTGACATCTAAGTGTAGTCTGTATACACCCATGAACATGTGAACATTCTGGATGTCCAATTTTTATTTTACCTTTATTTATACAGGTAAATCTCACGAGGTCTCATTTTCAAGAGCAACCTGTTTAATAGTGAACAACAAGGTACTGAGACAAAATGTCAATTCTGCAAAACATGGATCAAATCTTTTTCATTTTGTAACGTTATTTAAGTGGAGTGAGACTATGAAACTGACAATGGACCACAACTGAGACGAAGCTTAAAAGTGACCTCCAATGGTCCTGTACTGTGCCTTTAAATGTGAGTAAGCAGGACTTTCAAGAGAAAACCAGAATAAATATTTTGCAGACTAAAAGGCCTTAAAAGCTTTTTGTACTGTTAAAAACAGATGTTACAATCATCGTGTGCCTCACCTCTAGACCTGCTCTCCACTAAATCAGTCTTGCTCTCTGAACCTTCACCCTTGATGTCGGCAGAAGCGTCCTTCTCCACAGACTTCTCCTCTTTCTCTTTGCTCAGGTCTTCAGCTTCTTTCTCTTTCCCTTCAACTCCATCTGTCTCCTTCTCTCTGTCCTCCTTCTCTGCAGCAGAGTCTGCTTCCTCTTTCTTGTCCAAAATGGGGGATTTTTCAGACTCATCTGGGATTTCAATAATCTAGGCAAGAGATGGACAAAATAAAAGGAGATATATCTTCAAACTGTGCAATAGCTGAAGTGAAAGCAGAAGTTGAGAGCAGAATTTACCTCTGGATCATCTGCCTTCTTAGCAGCTTTGCCATCCTCTCCCTCCTTCTTCGTGTCTTCCTTGTCCTCTGACTTAGACAAATCCTCTGAAAACAGAAAGCACATGATATTACAGATATGGGGGGAGTGCTTTAATCTGTTATGTATACAACTAATTAGGATTCCTATTTAACATTTAATCTTAACAAGTGTGTGTTTCTTGGCCTATAACTTATTCATTGTAGTCTTTCCAAATGCATCCACAAGAGGGAGCAAATCTGGAAAATCTCTGGGGGTCAAAACAAACCTGATTGAATAATTACTTCTGAGGGCAAAACACGAAAATATCTCTTACACATCAAACAGTTATTTCAGGGTTAGTTGAGTCTTAAACATAGAATTCACATTACATCTGGTTCAAAACTAAGGTGAAGTATGTGGTGATGAGGTTACAGCTCAGAGGAAATGACAATGTGTTTCATCGTCACGAGTGTCCCCTTCTTGCAACATGTGTCAGAAACCGAGTCTAATTATAATGCATGCATCGTGTACTGAGTCTAAAAAAATGTTAACATTTGTTTAAAAAGCTCAGTAGTGAGTGCAAATAGTGTGTGTGTTTACCCGGCACAGGAGTGTTGGGCTGTGTGTCTGCAGGGGTCCCTGTGGAAGGAGTCTTTGGGTCTTCTCCTGCAGCCAAAGCTGCGGCTCTTTTGTTTTCCTCCAACTCGGCCATCCAGGGCATCGACCACTGACCATTCACATGTTCAAACTCCTGCACCTGTTAGACAACATGTGACTCAATAATTAAGAGTTTGGATAATTTAGACCACATTCTCAAGCAGGGCGACACTATTTTCACCATTTCTACTGGAGCTGTTGAACCGTACCTTTTTCCGTATGAGTGACATCACACCGATGCGAGTGAGCACGTGCTGTCTTGACAGACCCTCCCGAGGGACGCCGTCAGCAAACGTCTCGGCTCCGTCGGCCCCCGGCTCACAAAGGTGACGCATGAACAGAGACACATAGGCCCTGCAAAGAAAGCATGACATACTGAATAAATTTGAGCCAGGTGTATTTTATATTGCAGAGAGACAACATGCTAATTAATCTGAATGTAACTATCCTGCTAGTATTTAGTACTAAGAGACTTCACGTTCTAATGGCTCAGTTACCAGTTTTAACAATAATTACTTTAGACAGTTGGCCAATTTATAAAACTCTCATTAACGGAACAGCTTAAACCTTTAACTGTGTAGACAAGTTTACAAATTTGAGCAGATGATTGATACTAAAAATAAGGTTCATAACAAAAAAAAAAAAAAAGCACTTTACCTTGATATTAGACTGCACCCATAACAGTAGGAAAATTATAAAAAACACCCATCAGACTCACTTGAATTCTTTCTCTGACTTTCCTCGTAGGTCTCTGACCAGCCACTGGTTAGTAAAGGCATCTTGGGGAGGCATCCCATAACGCATCACTGCATTTAAGAAAGCCTTCCTCTGCCGTGCGTTGAATCCCAGCACCTGACAGATAAAGAGGTCAAAATGTAAAAGAAAAGCTTAATAGAAAGACAACAGAAAGATGTGACTCCTCCACCACTGTGCAGTTAATTTTGTTTTTCCTTGCAAATTCACTCTTGTCTCGTGGAAGGAACCAAAAACTCACCTCGATGTTCCCACCAACCCTGGCCAACAGTGGGGGTAGAGGCTTGTCCCGGTCGTTCCTCAGCCCTTTGCGGTTTGGCCTGCGGGCATTGGCTATGAGCAAAGAAGCACGGTTAGTTAGTCTGTCTGAAGGCCTGAAAGTCAGCGCCAACTCCACCGAAGCCATGAGGACGAAAAGTTGAACAGTAAATTTTGCATGATGCATGATCGTGTGTGCACTTATCGTCCTAAACTTTCCACTTACGGCTCATTGGCTCACTCTGATCCTGCTGAAGCTGGCCCTCTCTCCACACTTTACAATAAACGTTTCTTGAAGCGCAACGCTTTCAGAAAATTTACTACTGAAAGCAATCTGGCAGTACACATCATTTAATAAAACTCCAGTTACAGTAAGAAAAATACAACTGGTATATAAATGCACACCTTATAGCACCTTTTAATTGGAAAATAAATTTTATACAACATTTTTATTAACGGATACAAATTTAATAAATAAAAGTGAACAGTTATATAAACAATTAATATAAACACAAACAATTTAATCTGCAAAGCAGATTAAAGGACTGGGAAACCATTGATCTTAATTTTCTTTCCCTGTTTCCTTCTCTTATGCTTTTTCCTTTCCTTTTTCTTTCTGCCTTGCTTTGCCTCTCTACGCTCAACGCAGATGATGCAGTCACATTTCCTTTTTCGGCAGTTGTTGTTGAGGTTGTCGAGGAGGATATCATAGCTCTCGTCTGAATCTGAATAAACATCTGCGGGGGTGTTGGAAGGATGTTAGTGAATTATGTATCTCAGATGTGGAAAGACTTCTTATCATCGGTTAATAATCTGAACAGGAACCTCCGCCTCCATGTCAGCTTGTTATGATCAATAACTTCACTCAACTCCATCTTTATGACTGATGCCAAACTCCTCAGAGCACAGACGTCCCAGTGTGAAAGATCTCCAACGGTTGTAACCAACTTACCTTCAGTTCGTTCATCAAAGTCCTCATCGCCCTCCTCTGAGGCCACCGAGTAATCGGACTGGTTATCAGACTGATCCTCCTGCCAGTCTAAAGAGACCACAGAGAAATGATGAGATGAGCGAGGAGAAAATACTAAAAAGGACAAAACTCTTCCCCACCAGGTCTGAATCTAACTGATCAACAACGAGATAAAAGTACACATACGAGTACACAATAAAAGTAACTCCTTTCAGAGGTTTAATCACAGGTTAGTAAGAGTTCAACCAGTAGGGGGAGTTACCGTGTTAAAACTGCATTTGAACTACTAGATTACTGCCACTGATTAGCTTTGACTGCTGCAATAAACAAAAAGAAAAGATCCTTCACTGGTGTTGTTAATGTTTACACAGCTATATGCAAGTAAAAGCCTACTGTGGCTCTAACAGCTTTGGTTTTTGGTTTATTTGGGGGCTGAGACAGGAAAAAAAACAGATCATTAAAACAAAACTAGTTCAACTGCTTCTGTGTTTTGCAGTTTGAGGTTTGTTTCTTCAGAATTGTCACTCTCCCAAAATAAGGTCTTAAAATGTGAAGCAGAAGGGTTCGGGAGAGGACTGTAGCTTTGGTGATTTTATCAACAAATCCTAATACACGTTCATGTTATTGCTTTTCCTGGACCTCCAAAATCTACATGAATAGTATGGACTTTTTTATATATATATATAATTAATATTAAAACTTAACATATTTGAACAGAACCTTGTTGAAAGCTGCACTTATTACAATTGCCATGGCTTGTTGTTTCCAGCTAATAATGTCCCTGTCTGTCATATATGATCTCTGACAATGGAGTTCACTGAATGGAATAATGTTTGAGAGCAAATAAGCACTGAATGAATGGAATACAGGCAACTGATAATTGATTTCCTCCTTTTATTAATGTTTGCATGTTTTTCTGCAAGTTTCAAGATGTAAAACTATAACATCAAGATTTTGCAGACCTGAGTCATGTGCATGACCTCCCCTTCCCCCTCTATGTCTACACTGCGTTTACACTCAGAAAAAAAGAAAAGAGGTCAGTTCAAAACCAGTGGAGGCCTGTTTTTCCCCACACAGGAAATTCATGATAAAGGTTGCAGAAAAAAGTTGACCCTATGAGCAGAATCTCCCTTCGATAGACTGCACTCCATCTCTCTTCTTATGAGAGCTGGGACAGGCTCCAGTCCAACTCCCAGGACCCTGCGGTTAAATTGGTCGGATGGATGAGGAGAATAAAAAGCAAACAGTCCGTGACAGATGCATTTTCTCATGTCTGTGCAATCAGACATCATACAGACTACACTCAGGAGCTGGCAGGTTAATCTCCACTTAATGGGCGATCACACACAGCTCAGCTGAGTGACGTCTAAGAAATGTTTATCAGCACATGAGTGAAAATGGCTGTTGTGTTGTTTGCTGTGCCCTATCGCACGCTCTGCCTGTGCATCCAGCCCAATCTGCTGCTGCCCCCTACTGTTTTAATGCTAAACCAACGGCTGTACTGCAATAATATTCCCTTTGTGCCATTTTCTAGTCCGAGCAAATTACATCTAGAAAAGGGGCCTTAACTACCTACAATGCGAGTCCGTCTATCCGCCTATTTTGTGTGAACGTATCTCCTAAAGGAAGGCGACACATTTCTGGCTTAGTGAGAGGCCTTATCCTTCTGAAAAAATTGATTTTAAACTGGTCTAAACATTTAAAAATAACATCAACTACCACATTTCTACACCCGAGCACAAACTAAAACAAAACTTCATGCCATAATCTCACTGTCGCTGCTACTATATTACCACCACATCAACACCACACAAACACAAATCCACCACTGGTACTGCACTCCACACACGCACAAGAAGAGGTTGCATTATATATTGTTCTGTACCCTGTCTTATACCTCGGTCCTCCTGGGAGCCATCATTGTAGTTGACTGGCTTTCGAGTTCTTTTGCCTTTGCCCAAATTGCGGGCGAGATCCTCCTGCTGTTGCTCGTAGTGGTGCCGAAGCAGCTTCTCCCAGTAGTCTGGATCAACACTTTCCTCCTGCTTGATCACCTCCCTTTCCACCTCCTCCTCCTTTAAAACATTTTTTTTAATACAGTGCACATAAAGACTGTTTGTTCGTGCGTAGACTTTGAGTTTGACTACTAAAGATGCTCTAAAAATGACAAAAAACTAAAGCCCGATAGGTAAAGTGATATGCTCATATTACGCACATTGTAGCCATGCTAATACTGTACCTCATCATCTTCATCTTTCACCACATACTGTGCCACTTTGAACGAGCTGAGGTATTCGTTCATGCTCTGGAGCTCAGTGTCGTCTGTGGCATCCTGGTTCCTGTCAAGCAAACGGTCAATTGCCTGATCATCGTAGTGGATCACACTGCTGTCATCCTCCTTGTTGTCCCCTGAAAGTAGAATAAGTGGAAAAAGAAGGAAGGATAGGAGGAAGAGAAATTTGAATTTAATGCTCAAAACATCTCTGGCATCCCAGTGGAGAAGTCATAATTCCACCTCTTTCTCTTTGCTTTTACACACAATGCAACTAGTGATGCGCAGAACCAGTCGACTGGATAATTAACCAATAAAACTTTGCTGCTTTCACTACTCTGCACCAGGGATAGTTGTTTAAACTAGTAATTAATATTTTTTTGCCAGTCAACCCCACTCCCCACCCCCATCTCTGACAGGAAGTTTTAAACAAGTACTGTGGAAAATAACACAGATAAGAGACCTGCAAACCAGCAAAGTTCTGCACTATCTTGATCTAGAAAATGAAACAGCTGTGAGCTGAAGAGTAAACTAACATATAACCACTCAACTGGAGCAATGCATAAACCACATTCTGCAGTGTGGACGCTATGGCCTAATTTAGATTTCTGTGGTGAATCTCTGTAGATTCTATGACTTAACCTACGCAAGTGGCCAATATTGATGCTGGTATATATGCTTGTGTGTGGAGTATTATGTGACAGTTACCTGTGGTCATGTCTCGGCTTCTTATATGCGGTGCCAGCCGGCAGAACTAAATAAAATGCTGTGACTTTTTCCCCTCCTCAGTCCTTGCTCTGTGTTGTGTCTGGTTTTTTTTCAAGGGCAAACATATTTAACTTTTTCCACTTCTTTGCACATTCCCATTACGTCTAATCGGATAGTTTCAGCAATCCTCCAGGAATTTGCTGACATTTGTTAGTCCTTTTATCGATCCTATGATTATTATTCCTATTGAGGGGCTCATTGTTATTCTCTCACTGATCAATTTCAAAGCTGCAGTGAAAACATAGCTGTAGATGCACAGGAGTACTGAACAGGTACATCACATCAGGTGACTCTGTAGGCTTTCAGATGGCTTTGCAGATACAACATAACTATAGGATAGATTAACCAGACATACAGAGAAAGAGGCTCCCAGTGCTAAAATTAATATCAGCCCCACTCACCAAACTAAGCGGACAGTGTGTGTGTGTGTGTGTGTGTGTGTGTGTGTGTGCGCGCGTGCCATCTGTCAGAGGCTCAACACTGACTCACCATCTCCAATTTCATCTTTAAACAGTTCTTCAGTTCCAAACTTGAGGATGTCATCAAGCTCCTGCTTGGACATGGAGCCCATCTTAGATCCGAGGCCGGGTCGCACCACCAGGTGGGTGAGCATCATCTTCTTCTTTGCCACCTGGTGGAAGCAAGAAGGTGGAGGTCAAGCTACCAGTCAATATGTGATCATTGCAATTCAACAAATTTGCTAAAGTGGTGTTAATTTTCACAGACCTGTGTTATCCTCTCCTCCACAGACGCTTTGGTAACAAAGCGATAAATCATCACTTTCCTGTTCTGGCCAATACGATGAGCTCTGCTGAAGGCCTGTGAAGCACACATGAAACACAGCATAATCACCCCTCAAAATAAACGCTCACACTGGCGCAGATGTGAGGTTAGTCATGTGGTTTGCATACCTGGATGTCATTGTGGGGATTCCAGTCGGAGTCATAGATAATAACAGTATCAGCAGAAGCGAGGTTAATGCCCAAACCACCAGCTCTGGTAGAGAGGAGAAAGGCAAACTGCTGAGCACCAGGAGCTGTTGGAAAGAGGAGCAAAATTAAAATTAGAAAAACAGACATCAACTCTGCTGTCCTGAGAGGCAAAACTGACAAATAGCTAAACACGCCTCACCATTAAAGCGATCAATGGCCTCCTGTCTCAAGTTGCCAGTGACTCCTCCATCAATCCTCTCATATTTGTAACCCTCGTTCTCCAGGAAGTCCTCTAGCAAGTCGAGCATTTTAGTCATCTGGGAGAAAACCAAAACCCTGTGGCCTCCTTCTTTCAGCCGTCTCATCATCTTCTGGAGCAGCATCAGTTTCCCTGAAGACTTGGTCAGGGCAGTGCCTTCATACATGCCATTTGGAAGTTTTGGCGCTTCCTGAAATTAAGGAAGTGATGTCTTAAACAAGTTTAAAAGAAACACGAAAAAACGAAATTAAATTAAATGTATAAAAAACATACATTGGCAGCTGCTGGAAAGAGGTAGGGGTGGTTACAGCACTTTTTGAGGTCCATCACAACATTGAGCAGAGATACTTGATTTCCTCCTCCACGAGTGTTCAGGGCCTCAAAGTTACGTGTTAAAATGAACTTGTAGTATTTCCTGAAGTACAAAAAGAGAAGTAAAAGAAGCGTGAAAAAATAGACTGCAAAGATAAAACAAAGGAAAACATGAGCAGGATTAAAGCTTCAAGGGTGACAAGTTATGCTCATGTTGCTGCAAATGGTTCTATATGAAGTTTGTATTATTCACAGTTGAAAATAATATTCCTCTATCTTATACTGGGCATTGCTGCAAGCCCTCATTTTAACCTCTACATGAAACAAACAGTTTAAGCTTCCCTCCGAACCACCTTCTGACTGACTGCCGCTTGCAAACAGAAGACAGTTATGAATGTCGAGTTGAGCTTAGTGCCTAAGAGGAGACCATCTTATGATGTGTTCAAATCAAAAACCAAGCCTGTTGCACAATTCCATACAAGGTTTTATGCAAAGACTATGGATTGTTTCCACATTGCAAAGAATACATGTTACTGTCAATCTAAATGCAGCTATCAGTAGTATTTATTACATTTACTCCTTCTCCTCCAACTCATAGCAAATATTTGTGGGTTTCCAAAACCATCAGACAGAATCTGTGACCAGCACAAGGGGAAACTTTGCTTTGTCTTTTCTTTGACCACAACATTAGGAATATCCCCTTTCACTGTCGACAGCAGAAAAACTGTCTGAGCTGTTTGAAGTCTGAGCTTCAGGCTCACAGGTATAACTCTGCCATACTCTGGGCACATTATTTGAAACTATGGCATGTTTAATTCAATTAATTTGAATTTTATTTATATACTGCCAAATTAACAACTGTCACCTCAAGGTGCTTTATATTGTAAGGTAAAGACCCTACAACAATACAGAGAAAACTCCAACAATCAATGAGCCTTTATGAGCAAGCACTTGGCGACAGTGGGAAAGAAAAACTTCCTTTTTTCATTTTTCCAAACATATATTTGCAGCTACTGCAAAGTTTTTTATTGCTTACTTTTGCATGGAGCTCAGCTCCACTCGAACAATGAGCTCGGTCTTTGAAGGCATGTGTTTAAATACATCAGCCTTCAGCCTCCTGAGCATGTGTGGTCCCAGCATGTCATGGAGCTTCTTGATCTGGTCCTCTTTGGCGATGTCCGCAAACTCTTCCAGAAACCCTTCGAGATTACTGCATGAAAAAAAACAATTAAAAAGCCACATGAATCACAGTGGATGTCATCACTGTATCTGCAGTACAGCTACATCTGCTGTAGCCCTGCGCTGTGTGCAGGTACTGACTTGAATCTCTCTGGGGTTAAAAAGTTCAGCAAATGGAAGAGCTCCTCCAGGTTGTTCTGAAGTGGAGTGCCTGTAAGCAGCAGCTTGTGTTGCAGCGGGTAGTTGTTCAACACTCTGAAGAACTGAGAGAAAGACAGAAAACATACAGTACAAACCTGGGCACTGGAGCCAAGAAAATTACACCACTAAACTGTTATGTCCAGCACTGTGTGTCCAGTGATGAAGGGTCACCAACATACTTTGGTTTTGGTAAAAGAAAAAGAAAAGAAAAAAAGCCTTTGTTGTTACCTTGGACTGGTTGTTCTTCAGTCTGTGTGCCTCATCTACAACCAGACATGCCCATTCAATGGAGCCCAGCACAGCCTGGTCAATGGTGATCAATTCATAGGATGTCAACAGAACATGGAACTTGACTGGTGAGTCTTTCTGTAATATGCAGAAAAAAGTGATTTTTAGTTAAGCTGCAAAACTGGGAAATAAGTGGAAACGATTACAAATATTACAGCTGCAAGTGCTGCAACTAAAGCTGGCTCTGACTGGCTGATCCCAGAATGCCTACAATGCCCACAATGCCTTCCGAATCATGTGACAACCCCCTTGGCTTTCGTACTTGCACTTCGCTGTTCCACTTGAACAATGTATTGTTGTTGCAGTTAGCAATTAACCTATCGTTCACTCAAAAGGCGTGATGGGTGCTTCGACTTACGAAAAGTTTCGACTTACGAAAGACCCTCGGGAACGAATTAATTTCATAAGTCGGGGTTCCACTGTACTTCAAAGCCACTACACTCTGAAATAGCAGTTTGTTTTTTTTACTTACCTTCATCTTGGACGCCTTTTTTCCTCCTCTGATGGCGTTTCCCTCAAAGGAGAACTCATTCTCTCTAATAACAGCCCTGCTGTCTTTGTCCCCTATATAGGTGACCACATACATGTCAGGAGCCCACATCTCAAACTCCCTCTCCCAGTTAATGATGGTGGACAGAGGAGCGCTGACAAGGAAGGGGCCTTTGGAGTGACCCTGTACCAATGGAGAACAGAGTTAGAATACATTAACATGCAAAGATGATTCATAATTTAATATCAGATAAATTACACAACTGCATTTGTCTTGCCCTGCCTTTAGGATCGAGCTCCTTACTTGGAATTCATCCCCTTTAATGGGCAGAGTTACTGTGTGTCACATGTCTGCAACCCCAACCACTAACACTGACTGACAGGGGAGGGCAGACTGGACAAAACAGCGTCAGTTAGCATATACAAGTCTTACTAAAGATAAAACAGCACAGCATTAGCCTTATAAATCAAATATTATCAGGTACTGTGTTGTACTTTTAACTGTTAAAACAAGCTTAATGCATTCATATTTATAAAATAAACAGCCCCTTACCTCCTTGTACAATGAGTAGAGGAAGACAGCTGTCTGAACGGTCTTGCCCAAACCCATCTCGTCAGCCAGGATTGTGTCAGTGGCTTGAGCCCAAGAAAACCTGAGCCAGTTCAAACCTTCCAGCTGGTAGGGATGCAGAGTTCCTCCTGTGCTGTCCAGATAGTCAGGCTGACGGTCAAACTTGATGGTGGGCTGGAAAGGAAAAAATAAAATTGCTGAACCGATCTGAGGAGCGAGCTTTTACACGGTCATCAATAATCCATCAGAATAAAGCAATTTAAGAAAAAGGTTGTATTTTGGTGCACGTACATCTACAACTGGATTAGCAGGCGGTCGCTCTGCCTTCTTCACTTTGACTGTCTTTTTCAGCTTCTTGCCAGGTCTGCCTTCCTCACCCATCATCAACTCTCTGATACACAGAGTAGGAAAAAAAAGGTAAGACTGACTAATTTATTCACTGTTTTTTAATGTAAACAGGAAAAAAAAGACATCAAACTGCCACAAATATCTCTATATGGCACCTAATTTACGTCCTAGAAAAGGAGTAGAATTAATTTTACAATTATTTGATCTTACCCTACTTTAAGATATCAACAGTCCTTGCACAACCTGAGCAAACAGCTTCTGACACTTAGTACACTACTGCATACCTGTGATTCCAGTAAGTCTGTTTGTAGGGGTCATACTCTGGAATGTCCATGTCTTCACTCTCCCAGGTGGACTGATCATATGGCAGATCTCTCCACTTGATCAGGTAATGCACATTATTCTTTTTATCAACACTATCAGGATAAAACAGACAGAAGATATTCTGTTGTGATAAAATGGTATACCTAAATGCTTCTGTTAAAGTGTTTCTTTTACATGGTGACATTATAAGACACTGGCTTCAAGATACTTCAATATGTGGAATCGATCCCTCTCATTCACTCTTCCTCTTATATTTCCTCTTACTACTCCAAACTTGGATACTTTGTCACCCTAACCCTTTATTGACAAAATAACCACAAAGAAACAACCAAACACCTAGTGACAAACATTCAGCATTACTCCTGCACAAGCATAAGCAACTGTGCACTGTGAATCGACACTGTGCACTGTGTTGTCATTGTGGTTTGTTATCACAAGTAGACAAAGGCCGTACACAGCATGAGAAAAAACAAATGAGAAAGGCATTGTGTTCTACTCTGAGTCCATGTTATGCATGCACATATAGCACGAGAGCGGCTGTCGTCTTCACCTTATGTGCACAGTGATGCTGTATTTATAGAATAATGTTCATTAAACATTAATGTTTTACTTTGAACTGAACTCCTTCCTGACACTCCACACACACAAAGCATACAGAATACAAATGATATGCATGTATTAAAACAGCAATGCTAATTCAGTTTGAGGTCTCCACTCGGCAAACTGTATTTACTTTGTTAACTTACTTTTATTGTTTCTTGCTTCGAAACCTGCTTAGTGTTCTTGTTTCATTTGTATCCTACCTGTGGTTAAGGACGCGGTGGATCATCAGCCACTCCATCTTAACTCCATAGCGGCTAAACTCCTCCTCCATGTGGACAAAGAGTGGATCTTTGTTCTTCCTCTTCGTGCTTTTGTCATCATCACCCTCGCCTCCAAAGTCAGCAGGCGGCGGTTCATCCATGTCAGTCTTCCTTTGGTAGTTGCGGAACATCACTTGGCAGTTCAGCTCCAGCTGGGCGAGAGTAAACAAGGGGGTGTCATGTGCTGAGTATGTTACAAAAAGGAAAAAATAAAACCTCATTCTCATCTACAGGTGGATGCAATGGTAGTACCTGTAGCTCCTGCACCCAGGAGCAGTGCCAGTACGACATGTTGCACCACTTGACAAAGAACTCCCTCTCTCTACGGCCTGCCAGAGGTGGTGGGTCAGGAGCATCAGCAGGCAGATCAGCAGGCCGGGGTACAGGCATAGGGGCTGGTGCTTCTCCCCAGCGCCATGTTAAAACCTTCTGCACTTTTCCCTTCATCGGTGGACACTGTGAGAAAGTGTGGATGGCAGAGGAAATAGTTATAAAAAGGAAGAACAACTAATCAACAAAAGCGTTGTGAAACTGAGAAGAAAACCTGTCCTGAAAAATTATATGAGTGCTTAATTGTAAAAAACACAAAAATTCTTCAAATAAAAATTGTATATCTGCCATTTTTCCCTGTAAAATGCTGCAGGTAAACTTATGCACATCAAGAGAAAAGGCTCTTTATCTCCAGTGCAACTTGGAATTTGTAATCCACATGCACGCCCACGTGAGCACGCGCAGTCTCGTATGCACCAGTGCTCAGTGCTCACCTTGCAGCGGGGGCAGATCCATTCTCCATTGGGGATCTCGGGGAGAGGAGGGTTGAGGCAGTGGATGTGGTAGGAGGAGGGGCAGGTGTCACAGCAAAGCAGCTCTCCCCCGTCCTTACACACACGGCAGAACTCAATGTGGTGGTCGTCTTCCTCCTCCATCCCTTCATCCCTCCTGTCGTCATCGTCCTCACCTTCGGCCTCGGACAGATCATCCCTGGCTTCCCACTGGATTCCCTCCTTCTCCTGGTGGCAGAATTACAGACAGAAGGAGGAGGTGTGCACGCGGGGGAAGAGGAAGGGGGGTTGGGGGGTGAGGGCAGACAGGCAGGGAAGGTATGCGGAACGAAGTGAAAGAAAAAAAGGGAGGGGTGTGTGTATGCGTGGGGGGGATTGAAGAGCGCCGAGGGGTGGGGAGGGAGGGTGGTGTGCATTGCGTGCGTGTGGAGCAGTCAGAGGAAGGGAGGGAGGCAGGCAGGGGAGGGCCGAGAAGAGGAAATGGAGGATGGGTGAGATGTGTGGTGGGGAGCAGGAGAGGATTGACGGGAACATGAGCAAAATGGTTGTTGGGGTGGGGGGAGAAAGGGACAAAGAGAAATGGAGAACACTACAGTCAACCCTGCTGCCAGTGGAACTTCCGCACAAAATATTTTAACATCCATGTTTCATGCAATTTTTGCCCTCCTGATTCAAACTTTGAAAATCAGGCGCATTTGCTCTAACAGTCTGCCGTGCACATCTCTCAGAGGATTCAGGGTTCCAGTACTCACACAGTGCGGGCAGCTCCACTTGCCCTCAGGTGCCTTCTCCATGTCAGGGTCCAGACAGACCATGTGATAAGCCCTCGGACAGGTGTCACACAAAATGATCTCTCCTCCCTGCTGACACACCTCACAGTAATCCTGGTGGTCTGTCTCATAGCCGTCACCATCTTCTGTCTCGACTGAGAAAAGACAGAAAAGTAGCAGGAAAAAAATAGGTATCAGCCTTCACTTCAGCCTTGACTTTGCTCTTGTTAAACAAGCCACCTACATTACACACATTTCTTTTCTTCCTGGAAATGCTGATATAATATCACACTTTTATTTCAGTATGTTTCCAACCTTTTTTCTTTTTCTTTGCACTTTTGGGCTTCTTCTTAGGACGACTGCTGCGGTTGGAGCCATCTGACACTGAGAAGCTCCCATCATCAAAGTCGCTGTCAACATCAGGTTCGTCCTCATCGCTCTAATGAAGTCAACAAGCGAAGGGAAAAGATTGATATGAGTACCTTGTTTCATTTCAGCACATCATCAGTATTTGGATCCCAGTGATTAAATATGTAGAAATAAAGTCACTGTGTGCCAATTTTAATAACTCACAGAGGAGCGCTTCCTCTTGCTGTTGAGGCCTCCAAGTTTAATTTTGAGTGGAGCCACCTTCTTAGGTTTTGGTTTCGGTGGAGGCTTAGATGTGGGCTTCGACCTCCTACGAGCATTGGGACCTCAAGAGAAGAGAAGATATAAATTTATTTAAAACAGCCAAAATCTTAATTCTGTATACACTTCATAAAGTCATAAACTCTGTCCTATTTTACCTTTGCCCTCTTTGGTCTTGGCCTTGCGGAGAGGAGGTGCTGGGGCTGCTGGGGGTGCAGTAGGCGCTGGAGCAGCAGCAGGAGTTGAAACAGGTGGAGTCAATGTAGCAGGAGCGGTATCTGCCCCGCTCTCTGTCCCTGCCACCACCATGTTCTCCACAGCTGTCGCCACATTGGCAGCTGCCAGGGCTGCATTAGCAGTGGCACAACCCTGCGGGGACACAAAAGCACACAGTGAGAACCTCTGCTCTCTAGAAGTGTATAGTATAACAGAAGAACAAAAGGCCTCAATATTTAATACCTTCAGAGGGTTGTTTGTACTGAATTCACGCCACTTAGCCATCATTAAAGTCATCATCTTGGACACAGCAATTTTGGGGTTCTTAGCTGCAATTAATGGCCTAAAAACACAAAGTGGGCAACATTTTTATACTGTTACATAAATATTTATGCACAAATCTGTAGTCACAGAGTAGATGCAGACTTTACTGTCAAAGCCTAATAATGATGAGGGTGTCTTCACCTGACAAACTGACTGAAGGCCTTGTAGTTGGTGAGGGAGCTGTAGTCTTCCTGAGTAAAGACGTGGTCAATGTCTTTCATACCCCAGGCTTCCAGCAGCTGGGTGGAGCTTTTCGGCTGAGGTGGGAGGAGAGAGTCGAAAAGGACAACGAGGAAGGTTAATGTCACACGTCAGCCCTGCAGTAAGTAAACAAAGTCTGCATGAGGGCCTGAATTAAACTCTACCTGGCAATCATCGTCATCGTCCTCATCATCTTCTGGCTCTGGTTCTTTACGTTTGCTCTTTGAGCTGGACGAGCCTCCTTTCTCTGCCGCCGCACCTCCCTTCTTCTTGTCTTTGGCGGAGCTGGACCGTTTCTTCTTTTTCCTCCCTGGTGCATAATCACTTCCTTCACTCTCTGACCGCATACCTCCCTCATCAGCATCCCTCTCTGCTGCCTCTACTCCAAGCAGGTGCTCTGGGGAGCTGACTGGCAACTCCTGTAAGATAAAGAACCACACTGCTGGGTTTTATGTATAACACAGAAATTAGACGCTAAAATGACATCTTTCTTTGTCTTGTTTCTTGTAAAGGTCCTGGCACTCTATTAGGCTTGGGGAATGAAAAGACACTGGGCTTTCATTCACAGTGCTGCTATGGTCAACATATGACTCATCACTAATTTCAGAAGAAGCAAAAACAGTCAGTCGCTTCATCTATTGTTCAGTTGACACAGAACGGGTCTTTTTATTTATTTTTCAGCAAAAATGCTAAATATTTCCTGATTTTAATGTTTGTTTTCCCCGTTTTATGTGAGTGGTAATTAAATATATCGTTAGCTTCATAGCATAAGTGCCTAAGTCATTTTTTTGTGATGACATAGGCAGACGGACAGGATGATGCAGCAGTGGTAGGGGAGTAAAGTTAGGCAAAAATCTCAATTTGACCAAAAAATGACTTAGGCACTTATGCTATGAAGCTAACGATATATTGTAGACAATGTGTTTTAAATGCACTGACCTGGCCTATGGAAAATTATACATTTGCTAGTAATTGGTTCATTATACATTAATTGATTTGACCTCTTCTTCGTTCAGCTGCTCTCTTTAAGGGCCACTACAGTGGATCACCTGCCTCCATCTCACCCTATCCCTCCCTATTACCCTCCTCTGTCACAACAAACCCTTCTTTACTGCATCCATTCTCTGAGGTCTTACTCTTTTTCTCCTGCCTGCCATCTCCATCTTTAACATCCTTTTCCCAATACATCCACTATCCCTCCTCTGCACTTATCCTAACCATTTCAGCCTTGCCTCTCTGACTCGGTCTCCACAACTGCTTAAATTTATAATAAAAGTGCTACACCCTTATTTCAGGGTATTTGGGTCTTGGTTTCCCATCTCATGAAATCACTGTTTGCAACACATCCACCTATAGTTAAGTTGACTTTGCTTAGATTTTTACTTGTTCAGCTCCTGTATATTAATTAATTTTCCTATTAAAACTTAAATCCTTTCTTTGAGTGCCTTATTTAGCTATTTTGTTTTCCATATTGCATTTTACCAAGCGATTATACTTTACTACTTTATTTAAACCTAGGCTGCACTTTCCTATTGAATCTTGTCAACTTTTTCCAAATAAAATCGACACTATTTTGTATTAAATACACCTTACATCCATGCAGGTTTTTTCACAACTTCGCAGAAAGAATTACTTTTGGTTGTTTTATGCATGTGCAGTAAAATCAAGAGCAGAACAGCATCTGTTGTGCTGACAGAAATGTTTACAGAGACAAATCTGTCACAATCTTTAAAAAAATGAAAAGAAAAGAGGATTCCCTCAGTCACAGGCTTAAACTTTGTGCAACTCACCTCTCGGATCGGTCTCTGCCGCTTGCTGCTCCTATTCTCTCGGCTGCTCTTCTTGGCTTTCTTCTTCTTCTTGGACTTTGGTACCTCTTCTACGTCAGACACAGCATCCTCCGGCTCGTCCTCATCTGCCGGCGACACGCTTTCATTAGAGACACAGTGCATGCACACGCACACACACACACACACACACGGACAGGAGCACCACCGCTGCAGGCCGAAGGGAGAAAACAGGAGACCGCGCACTGGCACGACTGGCACACGTCCGTGCACGCACGCAGACACACACAAGGCGAAAGCCACAAAAGCGCAGGTTGAAACTTGTCCGTTTTCTGTGTTTGAAACTTTGACAGCTCACGCCCACGCTCGCGGAGGGACCCGCGAAAGAAGAAGGGGGCCGAAGAGGAAAAGGAGAAACTCTAAACACTTGCTTGCCAAGTTAGCTAACTAATCTATCATGGCGAGTGACGGACGGCCCGGGCAGACTACTCACGGCTAGCTGAAGCTAACATTAGCATCGCGTTGAAGGCGAGCTCAAGTTACGGAGATGGACCTTCTTCTTCGGAGGCTAAAAAAAATAAATAAATAACAGGCGAGCTTACCGTGAATTAGTGAGTGCTCGTCCGCGGTCCCAAAGTCTTCCCTCTCATCCTCGCTGCACGACATTTTCCCCTGCGTTTTAATTTTATTTCTTGCTGGTCGAATTAATCCCTCCTAAACCTTGCTCCTCGGTCGGCGAGGGAGGAGGGAAAATGACGTGGGACTGGTGGAGAATGAACCGGGGGTGTCCAGGAAGGGAGGGGGTAGTAGTGGTGGTGGTGGTGGGTGCTGGAGAGAAAAATATATATAATAATAATAGCAATAAATGGCATCGGAGGGTAGCTAAGCCTTGCCCGTTTCCTATTATTTACACAGCATCAAATTGTCCACCTGCCTGCTCAAACAAGTTGGATAACTTCATTATCTGTGACATTTATCGGCTGTTGATTTCCAGGTATATTTTTACAATGAACTTCAGCTTGGCATCCGTGGTCACTTCAAATGCACACCGTGAAATCGGACTGTTGAGTTAAAGCGTTGTATGAGAGCAAAGTTGAAGCATTACGAAGCCAATCTCCTAACATTAGAAACTTACAGTAGTGTGCTTGTAGTCCCGGCTCGAGGTGTGCTCTCCCCCCCCTCCCCTCTTCCTCTCTCTCTGTCGGTGCGAGAATTGCCACAAATCAGCCTGTTTGTGTGGCAAGGTTCATTCATTAAGCCCGACTAAACGGGTGATGAGGGAAATTCAAAAAACGAGCCGTCAACGACCCCAAAACACGCTGCTCCGTCCCCCTCTTCGCTCTCTCCCCAGCCCTTACAGGCAGCGCTTAGCTAACATCCTCACAAACACACAAAGGGGGCAGACATCCCATAATAATCTCCCCCCCCTCCCACACTCACACAG